TATTAAAATAAATAACAAATATTTTTCATTGTTTATAGTAGAAAAATTTTAATACCTGCTTAATTCAAGTAATTTGGTGGGAAAAAGCTTCAATATGACTAAGGCCCTATTTATTAAAGTATATAGTAATTGCTTTTTAATATTTAGATCTATTAAAATAATAACTTATAAAATAACTAAAAATAGATAACCAATAAAGAAAAAAAAGACTATAATATCATTTAAATAACTCAAGAGACAAACTTCCAATACAATTAAAATCTCTATTAGAGCATCTAGACTTTGCGATTTCAGAGATTTTACATTGTTAACCAATGAAAAATCTCTGAGATTTCATAAGTTTAAACACTCTATAAAGTGCAATTTGCTTCACCATTTAAGCCCATTAAATTTAAAACTTTGCTTTTATAAAAAAAAGAATAACAATAACACTCACTGATTTAAGCAAGGTGGCAAAGTCAAGCTTTCATTAAGACCCTTATTTATTGAAGTTTTTATCATTATCGTTATGCTCATTTAAAATAGTCTAGAAAAAAAATATAAAAATATTAGTACCGCCTATATAATTCAAGCAATATGTCAGGGCCAAACTTTAATATGATCAAGTTTCTATTAAAATTTTAAACATCACTTTTATAATAAAAAAAGACCACAATATTACTTGTTTGATTCAAGCAAGATAGCAGAGCTAAACTCTGTAAGGGATGTAACGAAGTTCTTTATTTACTGAATTTATTATTTAATAGATAATTTTATTTAATACATACATATAATTTAATTTAATATTTAAATTTAAGATTTATTATTACCTGAAGCAAGTAAGCAGCAAAGGCTCAGACAATAATGAAGATGCAGGGAAATTTGGGCAAGTTTAGAGTATCAGACTTACGTGATTTCAAGAATTTCTCTTGTTTGAACAATAAAAAGTCCTGATGTCATATAAGTCTGAACACTCTAGCAAGTTTCTCTTTTTTGTGTTGTTAACCTTTTTTTTCTTGATTTTCTTAGCCTTATCATGCTTTAGCATAAATGAAAGTTTATTTAACTTTGTATATATAGTATTTTTTTCATATAGTATAAACAATTCTAAATTATTTCTATATTCTTTTTTTAGATATTTTTTACATTATAAATTGTTTTTCAAGAGTAAGCTTCATTGTTTGAGTTTCTTTTTTTTGCAATTATTTGACTAATCTTATTGTTAATTTAATTCATGCCACACCATTTTTATTACAAACCATTAGGAAGTTTGCTTTGAAACCCTGTCGACTGTCCCCACAAACATGCCTAATTTGGATAGACATCTTGGGGCACTTTCAAGCAAAAAATTCAGTCCTTTTTCTAAGCAAATATCCATTGTCTAATCATTGTTAGTAGTGTATTCCATGGATTACTCATGAGTGTTTCATGGTTTGTCTCATGAATCAAAGGACAATTATAATATACAGGAAAACAATTGAAGATAATTGCGTAAATATGTATACACCTGATTCACTACAATATCTGCTCAGGAGAAGAACAGAATTTTTGCTTAAAAGCACCATTGATTTGACAGATTTATCTTTGGAGTACTTCAGGTAAGTCTTACTTTCTCTTTTATTTATTCATGAATGAAACAACATGCTACTCTAAAACTCGAGTATCTTGGCTAAGCATTCTGTTTGATTTAGTGTTTTGTACTTCATTTTTGATTGGAGATGAGACTGGTTAGAGATGTGCTGCTTATAGCACTATACATACTTTATTTGTAGTAATTGGAGTGCTGGAATTAAAATTAATTATCAAATGATATGATCTATTAAAAAAAAATTGATTCTTTATAAATTAGTGAATATGACAATTAAGTATCATCCCTATAGTCCTTTACGTGTATATTATATGTGAAAAAATTTAGGCAATATAATAGAAATGATTAACAAGTTTTGTGCTGTTCTCGTATTCAATCTTGATGCATGTAACGATTGGGTTCGTTAGAGTACGATCAATAGTTTATCATATAGTGCTGCCTACAGTAATCTGATAAAGTGCTCTCTAATAAAGTATAATAATAGGATACTATTCATCTACAAATGCCAATTTTGAATAATACATGTTAACAAATGCCACTATTTTTTTAAATAGTACCCCTGTTTATATTAAATATACTATGATATATAGTAGTTTTTTGCTTGTATAGTTCCTCTTCTCAAGCTAAGTTAAGAACTTTTGACTAAACTCTGATATTCTAAAAATTTAATTAACATCTGTATATGTCCAATTAAATTGAGGCGATTAGAGACATTAATAATCGATTCTTTGAGATCAAGTCCTAATTGATATTTACAAGAATCTGTCAGAATTGGTAAGAATTTAATTCTTAAATTACATGACTGCTCTATAGGTTTCTAACAGGATCAATTTTTAGACCAGATCTCTTTGTAAATCCAGGATCTATCTTTATTGAACATCATTGCTTTAACAATAAGTATTCAATTGATTAGATGTTATCTTTATTGTTTTTAACAATAAAAGTTTCAATTTGATTGAGGGCTTATTTAATAATTGCAGAATAAGATAAAAAAGATTATAATATATGCAATTTAGCTAATATGGTTAGTTTTCTATTTATTGAAGTAGAATTTATACTACCTACCTATAGCAAGGCAGAATAACCAAGACTCTATTTATTAAGTATATTGATTTAAAGTTAGAGCATTCAGATTTATACAATTTCAGAGGTTTTTTATTGTTTGAACAATGAAAAATATCTGAAATCTTGTAAGTCTGGACACTATAATTGAAGTATATTTATTGATACACAATTAATAATTATAATATTGCTAATTATATATACAGTATAAGATATTTAAATCCTGAACACGAATACATGCATCTTATTGATTAGCATTTTTCAAATAGATTTGTAAAGTCCAATGACATCTATTGCTATATTTATGCACTGTGATTTTGACTAATTTATTTACCTTTTTGTTTCAGTTTATATAAAAATATATAATAACAAAGTATTTCAAGAATTCTATTTTTGTTAATTATTCATAAACAACAACTAGAATTTGAGATATGTTGTATTCTGCATAATAGTGGAAGAGGACCTGAATTAAGGAGAAGAATCAGTGGCATAACAAAAAAAAAAGATTACTGAACATTTATCGCACTTGGTAGGTTTCGCATTCGAAATTGTGATCTCATGATCACGTATACTATTGAGGTTTAATAATAATTTGGGATCAGTTGGAAGGCAATTATGTAATTAAGAGCACTTTAAGCAAAAATTTATTTCTTTTTCTAAGCATATAATGTGATGAATCAGGTATATACATACATATTTACATAATTGTCTTCAATTATTTTTTTGCATATTATTTGTGAGCAATCCATGAAAGCATAAATAGTCAAACAATGGATATCTGCTTAGAGAGAGGTTTGAATTAGAGTGTCTAGGGTACTGCTGCTCTAACTGAAAATTTCTGCTGCAATTATCGTTAAATCAGCAAATTCTGTGGTGACGTATAAATAATACTTTAAAAAACTATTACAACAAAAGAAAATTCTAATTTAATCACAATAGACTATATTTACCAATAATTTTTATTCTGCTCACAGACTTCTAAACAAATTCTGTGCAGATTCTGTCACTGCAGTGCTGTGACACTCTAGTTCAAATTTTTTGCTTAATAACACCCTTAATAATTTAATTATTAATTGCTAGAAATGAACTAATGATTTAACAATTTGTTAAATACATACATACTAAAAATAAAAATAAGAGAAATTAATGGTTTTAAAAATGTTTTATAAATACATAACTTATGAACTTTTGATAAATAATTATACATATTATCTAAGTATTAAAAAAATGCCTTCTCATGTTGCTTTTGTAGTTGTTATTACCACTGTGAGAAGTAGTCAACTATGTTCGCAAGATTTGGCAAAATACAAACTCCTCAATGAAACGTTTCAAACAATTTAGTGGAAATATTTTTTCCCTATGAATGATCTACCACAAATAATTACAACTGACAATATCGTATTTTTTTCAAGAAAATACATAATTGAAAATTCTGATCAGTGTCTTACTGTTTCATATGCAAGCATTCTTGGCACTAATCATGAATCTAATATTACCAATATTCACAATATTCCTTCATGTGTACCTCACTGTATGTTTTCAGCATTTGTAACTCGTGTTCCAAAAAAAGTTGCAAATTTTATTTATTTCGGTGTAGAATGTCTTGAGTATAATTTGGTTACCAGTACAGCCAATGTTAAAATGCAAATGACTGCCTTTTATCACTCTCAATCAACTAGATTTGAAAAATATTTAGGTTCTTTAGGATCTTATATTAAATTAGGTCATAATTATCTTATTTCGGGTCTTATCAAATTTTTAGCATCTGGAAAAATAATGATAGAAGTGACGGATATAGACTATTTAAAACTTTGAATACAAATAATAATATGTTTGAAAGTTCTTCTGCGACAATATCTAATACTAGGTCAATAATTGATATCATCGCCGATGATATCGAATTTTCAGTTAAATCTGATACTAGTACCACCTATAATGATATTCATGAAAACCAAAAAAAAAGACAACCAGATTACAAAAATAAAACAGTTATTAATTTAGACAAAGAAGATCATCAATCCAAGAGAAGAAAGTCTTAGAACGGTCATAAAAAAATATAAAATGATAAAATAATTAGTTGAGAATATGTATGCAGATCTAATTATTTCTAAAGTAAAACATTTAATAGCTTATATGCTAATACATATATAGTATAGTATAAATAGTATTTATGATTTCTCAACTATATAATGAGCAGAATTATTATAATGTGCATAAAAGTTATTTCAAACCAGATATACTATTTCTAGAGAACAAACTTTTTGAAATAGTGTTCAGACCATTATTTCAAAAATTTACAGTATGTTTACTTTAAAGAATTTAAGTGCTAATAATACTTTATTGTTTTGTGTTTGTTATATATATTTCATTCTGATGTTTAAGTTAAATTTTTCGAATATAATGTAAACAAATATAAAAAGTTGTGATACAGACCGAAATACTAATAGACATTATTTACTACATATATACTACAAATATACTGTCTGATAGTCAATTTGGATGATGGTAAAATTCAAATCTATTTTATGTACAATTTTTAAATTTTTTTTAGGGTTTTATTGTTGGCTTTTTTTTTTATGGTTAAGTTAGAATTTAAAATTAGAGTTATTAATAAAAGAGTATAGATGGATTTGGTAAGGCTTATATTTTCAAATTGAAACCCTCAAATTTCACCATTACTCGACTTCACAATGTATATTTTACTTAAATAAAGCTTATAGTGGAATCATTAATAAAAAAAATTCAGCGGCTGATAATAATGTAATTAGTTATAGTGACAGTCGATCATTATCTCTAGTCTTCATAAAGAATTTACACTAAAAAGTAATTACTTGTTTATTGAAGAACTTAAAGACTTAATATAAGAAATTTACACTAATAAAACAAATTCAAGTTAATAATTCAATCTCGATCTAGAACTTCAGCTAATAATTCAACTAATATTAACGATCTAATTCATTATTTTGTGAACTAAATAAATGGCGATGATTGTAATTGTTAAGGCGAGCAAAATATTCATAAATTTTGGGGCATTTCAGATGATGTTAAAAAGTAGTAGGAGTAGCACTATAATTAAGTTGAAGATAAGTATGAAAAACGTTGTTAATTGTATGATAGCAGTAATCCGTTTTTTACCTTCAAAATCTGGCAATTTATACCTTGGGTACACTGATCATCTATAAGATCCAACATTTTGAAAGATTGATGCTGCTATTTAATCCCATCTTATTGATGATAATTAAAATGTGTTTTATAAATTTACATTACTTTTTAATCAAAAAATTTTAGTTATAAGTCGTGTATAACTACTAAATGAATCCTCCATAGTTCTTAAACAGTACAAAAAAAAGCTTGAAATTGAATAAGGTGATGCAATATATTACCATCATAAATACTTAAATATATATATAATAAAATTTTTTACTTACTTTTTTTTTTCTCTAGAGATCGGAAGTGCTTATTTTTTTATTTATATTGATAAAAAAACGCACTGATTCACTTATACAACACTTGACCGAGGCGTAATTATCTTAACACCAGAATACAATATATAAATCCAATGTGGCCAAGCTTCTATTATAAAAGTATAATATGCTTTCAATATTTATGCGCATTAAATTGAAAGCTTAAGTATAATAATAAGAGTAATTACAAACACATCGCACATCTGGTTCAAGAAATGCGGCAAGGTCAAGCTTCCATATAGCTGAAACCCTATTCATTGAAATTTAACTTTGCTTTTCAATATTTAAGTTTCAAATTAACAACTTCACTTTGAAATAAAAAAAAAAGATACTGTATTACTTATGTGCTTCAGGTAAGTCGTAAACCAATCTCTAATATATATATTATATTATTCATACTCAATAAATTTGTAAACTAAACTTTGTTCATAGTAAAAAAAATTTACTTACTAAACAAAATATAAATGGCAGACGGCAAGACGATAACGATAACTAATTATCGCAAGTTAACAATAATGATAATCTCAACTTTTTTAGCCAATCAAATACTTCTGGCCCGTCAGGTGGCCCACGGGCCAGACCCGACTCGGCCCGACCTTGTGATCGACATGACCTGACCCGGGTGGCCCGCGGGCCATGCCGGCCCGTTTGAACCCTACCCTCTGCGGAAGCATGGTGGACAAACCCGAATTTGGATGATCGACATTGTGGCTTAGCCAATTTAATAAAAAAATTTTTTTGATTTT